GAGAGAGAGAGACAGCGTGAGCAGGGGAGGGTCAGAGAGAGAGGGAGTCACAGACTGAAATAGGCTCCAGGCTCTGAGCTGGCAGTCAGCACAGAGCCTGACGCGGGGCTCGAACCCACGAACCGCAAGATCATGACCTAAGCGAAAGTCGGACGCTTAACCGACTAAGCCACCCAGGCGCCCCTCTTTAAAACAAGATTCTGATCTTTGGAAGTTTACTATTGGAATACTAGGTGAGGCAGCTGACAGGTAATCCTCCTTAGTTTCATCTAAGTTTTCATCTTCTTGTGGAAAAGAGCTGCTTCCGATACCTGTTCCCTCCACCATGTTCATCTCTGGAGAGGCAAGTCCTCTTTGAAAAAAATCCTGGCCCATGCCTTGCAACCTTTTCCTTTGTGGGTCCTCTGACACAAATGCAAGTGGCTTGATTCTTTTCAAAAAGGCTTTATTAAATATTAAGGAAGAAAGAAGAAATAAAATACAAGAAGTCTTTTTTTTTTTTTAAACTTTTTTTTTTTTCATTTATTTCTAGGAGAGAGAGAGAGACAGCGTGAGCAGGGGAGGGTCAGAGAGAGAGGGAGACACAGGCTTTGAGCTGACAGCACAGAGCCCGACGCGGGGCTTGAACCCATGAACTGCGAGATCATGACCTAAGCAAAAGTCGGACGCTTAACCGACTAAGCCACCCAGGCGCCCCTATTTCTTTTTCTTGCTTGATGCTCTGGCTAGGTCTTCAGTACTGTGTTGGGTAGGAGTGGCGAATGTGGGCATCCTTGTCTTGTTCTTGATCTTAGAAGAATAGTATTCAATCTTTCATAATTGAGTATGACGTTAGCTTTGAGCTTCTCTAATATGGCCTTTGTTATGTTGAGGTATGTTCCTTTTATATCCAATTCAGTGAGAGGTTTTTTTAATTATTATTATCATGAATAGATGTTGAATGTTATCAAATGCTTTTTCTGTGTCTATTGAGATGATTATGTTTTTTATCCTTCTCTTTTATTTTGGAAGAGTTTGACCAGGATTAGAGTTTTTTCTTTAAATGTTTGGTAGAATTCATCAGGGAAACCACCTAGTCCAGGACTTCGTCATTGGGAAGTTTTTGATTACTTATTCTATCTCCTTACTCATTATTAGTCTGTTCAGATTTTCTGTTTCTTTATGATTTAGACTTGGTGGGTTATATGTTTCTCGTGTATCAAATTTTTTCTGGGTTGTCCAATTTTTGTTATATAATTGTTCATGGTAGTCTTATCATTCATATTTGTGATATTTCTTGTAATGTGTCCTCTTTCTGATTTTATTTCTTCTTGGTCAAGTTAAAGATTTGTCCATTTTGTTCATCTTTTTAATGAACCAACTTTTATTTTGTTAATCTTTTCTATTTTATTCCTATCCTATATTTTATTTATTTCTGCTCTAATTTAGTATTTATTTCTTCTAACTGTGGGCTTCGTTTATTCTTGTTTTACTATTCCTTGAGGTGCAAAGTTAGATTGTCTTTTTGAGATTTTTTTTTCCTTGAAACTTCATCACTATAAACTTCCCTCTTAGAACTGCTTTTACTGCATCGCACTGGTTTTCTTATGTTGTGTTTCTATATTTTTACATTTCAAGATTTTGTTTTAATTTGCCCTTTGCTTTCTTTTTTGGTCCATTGGTTGGACAGGAGTGTGTTGTTTAATTCCCATGTATTTGAGAAGTTTCCAACTGTGGTTATACAAGATAGTTGATATAGTTTCTGTCTTCTTGAATTTGTTGAGACTTGTGGCCTACCATGTGATCTATCATAGAAAACATTCCATGTGTACTTGAGAAGAATGTGTATTCTACTGTTGGATGGAATGTTCTGTTTATGTCTGTTTGGTCCATTTGGTCTATAGTGTTTAAATCTGCTCTTTCCTGATTGATTCTCTGTATGGTCTATCCATCATTGATAGTTGGTATTTAAGTCCGCAACTATTATTGTATTGCTATTTCTCCTTCTAGTTGTGTTAGCATTTGTTTTATGTATTTATGTGCTCCCATGTTGGGTGAATAAATATTTATAATTGTTATATCTTTTTAATGAGTTGACTCTGTTTTCATTATATAATGACCTTCGTTCTTGTAACCATTTTTAGCTTAAAGGCTATCTTGTCTGATACAAGTAGAACTATGCCTACTTTCTTTTGGTTATCATTTCCTTGAAATATCTATCCCTTCATTTTATATGTGTCCTTAAAGTTCAAGTGAGTGTTTAGTAGACCATGTGTCTTTGGGATCCTGTTTTTGATCCATTCAGCCATTCTGGGGTTTTTTTGGCTGGGAGGGTGGGGGGTTAATCCATTTACTTTTAAAGTAATTATTGATGGGTAAGCACATACTAATGCCATTTTGTTTTATTGAATTCTGCAGTCATAATTTTTTTGCTCTATGATTTTGATTTTGATGATTTCTCTTTGTTGCACTTCTCATTTTGTTCATAGCACTGTTTTCCTAATTTAGTTGTCTCTTATAGTTTACTGGTGTTCTTTAAGATCATTCTGAATTCTTTTTCAGACAATCCATAGATCTCCATTTTATTAGGGTCAATTATTAGTTTCTTTTGGTGATGTCATATTTACCTATTTCTTCATGATTTTTGGTTCTCTGCATTGGTATCTCTGCATTTGTTTAAGCAGTCTCTGTTTTCAGACTTTACAGGTTCTCTTTAGCAGGGAAGCCTCTGTGGGAAGACAGGACTAGCTATTGGGGTCTCTTGTTCAATGAGGCCATTGCCCATGCTCTGAGGTTGGGATGCTCCTGGCTGGGCTCCATGTTCAAGCAGGATCACTGGGCAACTATCTTCTTGTTTGGATGGGGCTATTAATTGTGCTCCGCAGTCAGATGGGGCCACTAGCTGGGCTCTGCGATGTCCCAGGCTGTGTTCCATGGCAGTATGGTGCCACTGTTTGAACTCCTTGATTGGACAGGGGTACAGGCTGGCCTCTGCAATCACCCCTGGTTGTATGGGGTCTCAGATAGTGCTCTACAACCATATGGTGCCACTGGCTGAACTCGTGTGTTTATATGGGGCTTGCAGTTCGTGCCCTAGAGTTGAGTGAGGCTGCATCCTTGTCTTTATGATCATGTAAGCCATTGGCTGTGCTCATCTGGTAGGCAAGATCATTGACTAGGCTTCCTTGTCCCTTGAGACCACAGGATATGCTCCTTGATTGGGTAGGGTTAGCAGCTTGGTTTCCTGTCTTGTTAAGGCCACAGGCTGTGTTCAACAATTAGGCAAGGCGAGTAGTCTAGGCTCCTCTGCTTATCAGGGTTTTAGGCTAAGCTTCTCAACTGGATGGGATTGTAGGCTAGGCTGTGTCTCACAGTATAATAGGCTGTGCCCCCCTGTTTCCCAGGCCATTGTTTAGGATCCTTGGTTATGTGGGGTCGGAGGCTATGGTGAACAGTTAGGCATGGCTGCCGGTTTGATTCCCTGATGGAGCAGAGCTATAGGATGAGCTCTGTGGCTGCTCTTGTTCCCTGGCTGGGTTTCCTGGATGGGTGGAGCTCGAGGTTATGCTCAGTGCTAAGGCAGGGATGGGAATTTGCTTCCTTTCTTGGGCAAGGTGGTAGAACAGGCCCCCCTACCAGTATGGCCCACTGACTGGGATCCACATCAGGCAAAACTGCCAACCAAGTTCCGTAAGCAAGCCAGAGGGGGCCACTGGTTCAGCTCTGTGGAAGGCCAGAGCTTCTGGTTGGGATCTCTGTTTAGGAGTGCTGCTGTAAGCAGGAAAGCCATCAGCCAAGACCTGAGCAGTATTTGCTGTAAGTACCACCCCCTTCTCCATCTCTGTTTTTCACCAGTAGTCAAGCCCTGTAGATTCTTCCAGTGATTCCTGTGAGGCAAGACATGAGTGGGCTTCTTGGGAAGTATCCCATGTGCTAGGGAAGCTAGATGTCTGCCCCTGGGTCTCTTTTCCCAATGTAGAAACCATAGGCCCTGGTGGGGGACTCTCATAGTGGCACTGTGCTACTGTAGGGGAAGGGCAGTGGTGTCAGAGTGTGTCTAGTCCTCTTACCCTTCTAATGTGGAATTTTCACAGTGATGTTTTTTCTATGGATAGTTGACCGTTAGTCTTTTTGTGAGGGGCACTATAGTTGGTAATGACCTATATGGCCGTCTTGATGGTATCATTTTCCTCTATATGCTTAACTTCAAGTAGATATACATTTCTTAATGGGACAGATAGGTTATGTCATAATTTTGTCTCTCTGGTGCTTAGCTGCATGTTGGGAATGTGAACAATAAATGTGTGGTAGTTCTGTGATTGAGCCCTGTAAGAAAATGAAGCATTAAGGTATGAATTTGCTTTTATGTATACATTTTCATCTTTTAAAAACAGAATTGCTATTCCTCCATGCATACCTGTGTTTGGATTATGTGTGTGTGTGTTTTTTTTTTTTCCCTTCAAAATCTCTGTTGTCAGTAATTCACTGTTACTGATTCATACTCTTTATTGGTAAGAGGGCTGCTTTGCCTCAGGGATAATTTAATTAGGGTACTGCTGTTTGACACCATTCAAAAAAATGTTAAACCCTGAAGGATACTGGATCTATGACAGAATGACACTGAAGAGAAGCCAGGGATAGGCAAACTAATAACATCCTAGCTTGGCTATTATAATTGGGCTTTTGGCGTTTTTGTCCAACATTTTTTGTTTATATCACTGCCTTCCTAAGAAAGGAGCCTGTGACCAATTTGATGACTTTTATCTGGCAAGGGCAGAAACTAACGGAAGATAAATAAGGACATAGTAAGTTGATAACAGAGTCCATGCCTTCAGAATGCTGTGTTTCTCTAAAGTTAGATATCTATTTGTGATGAAGAAAACATTTGTGTAAGGGGGCAAGATTGGAATGCACTAAAATGAAATGTTCATGTTGACCACATTAGCCTTAATGGAACTTATTCGATATAGTGACTCAGTCTCTGTGAATCTGACTGTGTGTATTTGCTGTTTTTTATACAGGGAATCATCATCCAGGGACCTGCCAGAGACCACAAGAAAACATGGGGAGGAGTAAGTTTCTCTTTGCTTTTAAATAATTTAGACTTTCTCCATACTAATCTATGTATACAGGAAATCAAATTTGCAACTCAGCGTTTTTTTTTTTTTTTTTTGTGGACATCTAAATTGTATTTCTGGTTAGTGTTAGAAAGTTTTTGTCTGAAGCAGGGCTATGCAGAGAAAGACCAACAGACCACATGCTGCTCATTGGCAAGGTGTTTTTTTGTTTTGTTTTGTCTCTGCTCTTTTCTGAACATCTCCCAGTACAGGGAGAGACAGCTCAAACTTGATATATGTATAGACCTGCCCTAATCCCATCTTCTTTACAACTCTTAGGAAAGTTACTCATTTACTTCCATTGGTTCCTAAGCCTTGTTGATAATTACATTAACAACAACAAAAAAATGATTCTGCTATGCAACCAATGACACTATTAAAAAATTCATTGTGAGGTATTCATAAATGGTTTTGATTTCCCCTAAAATGTTAAAGCCTGGTATTAAGAACCATTAGATGAATTCCTTTGATTTGTCCTTTCCCATGAGGCTATTTATGGGCAGTAGACAATGGACAAATTCAAAGTCATTTTATTGTTAATAGTAACCAACCACCAGTGACTTCATAAGTTATCCTAATCAACATAGGCCATAAAATCAGATGAATAAAAGACCTCAGAGGAAGACTAGGTGTTGTGTAGTTTAGTGAGAAGAGTACTGGGCATAGAGTCAGAAGCCTGAAAAAAATTCTACTTCTAGTACTTTGATCTAATCCTAGAGTTCCCCTATATTTGCTTGTCCACCTCAAGTGTGATTCATATATTCTGCACTTCCAGCTTCAGGAAGTTGTGGTTGGCATAATGTAATTATACTTATAAAAGTGTGTTGGGAACTCTAAAGTATAATAGAAGAGAGCAGCTCATTCTTGTCCTTATTGAGTAAGTATATTTTCATTGGTTTTGTCTCCTGATAGTTAAAATGCAGTTTTTTGATCAGATGTTTCTGTAAGCAGCAGGGCTGGGACTAGGGTTGTGCAAGTGACAGAGAGTACCTCCTTATGTTTTGTGCTCTAGGCATTTTGCTTGCCCCATTTTAGTATGGGCCCTGGAAGGTAACCTCGGGGATTATGGATCAGTGATGGAAAATTTCTTCCTGAACCTTGTTGAGTCCGATTTTGCCTGTTTTCTCCAGTAATTTCTTTAGGGATTGATTAGCCCCAGAGATTTAGGTTCTTTCCTAACCGCCACAAAATACACCAATCTCCTGATAGTTTAGAAGTGTTAAAAAAAAAAAAAATAAATTTAGCTTAGAAATATGAAAAAATGAGTACATTTAAAAAGAACTGTTGAAGGTTCTGGGACTAATTCTGATCCTAAATCAGCTGTCAGCAGAAGTTTCCAGAGTAACTCATTGTGGCTTGGTCCTTACCTAATCTCAGGCTTCAGGTGGATTTCGATAATGTTTGGATTGTTGGATTTCATCATGACCACATGAAGAAAGAAGAAAGCTGCACTGAGACAGAGCAACACATTCCTTGTTTCCTCTCTTCCTTTTCAAAATGATCCTCAGGTCATTAGCAAGGAGATCTTTAGGAGCCTACTTGAAAGGTGCTTCAACAAGTATTTATTTAAATAGTCAGACAACTAATAAAAGTTCTTGATAAAGGATAGGGCATGGTACTGTTATCTGCAAAGATGGGCATATTTCCAACCTGGAGATGAGGTAAGGGAAGTGCTCCAAAAAATGCTGCTTTACAAACACATGGAAGCTTATAATAGCAGCATTTGGACTGTTTTTGTTGTCCACTTTAAAAGCATTCTTAACATCCTGAGTCTGGAAGCCTCCATCCTTTACTCTCTAAGCTTTACTTAGCTTGCCTGATTTCACTTGCTAATTGCTGTCACTGTTAGTGGGGGAAAAAAGATGCTACTGTGTGGTAAATTTTTTCTTTCCTGGCAACATACAATGAAGTTTTTACTGGATTTGGCAAAGATTCTGACAAACATAGCTCAATGTGTCATACAAAGGGACAACAGGGGAAAATATCACAAAGACATGGCACTAGCCTCACTAATGAGGAGGCTTGGAAACAAAGAACACAGCTGGAAAACCATACAGTGTAGGTGAAAAATTAAAATTAATATTGAGGTGAATTTCTTTTACTATATTTTGATACTAGATAAAGAAGTTATTTATAAATATGTTAGATGAATCATTGTTTTATGTGACATGAAAAAAATTATAAGCCAAATCTTAAAAATGGTGGTGGGAGGATAAGAGCACACTTTTGTTTTTAACATTTTTACGACCCCACCATCAGTGTCCATTTTTATATTCTTGAAATCCCATTTACTCTCTCTATATCCCATATATATTTAGTATATAAATGGGATACATATAATATATACAGGATTTATTATATATATATAGTAAAATTGGATTTACCCTATATATAGTAAATATGTATATGGGATATATATACTACATATATAATATATAGTTATATTCTATATAATAGTACATGGTATTTAAATATACTTAATATAATATGTTCATAGTATATTTTGTATACAATATAGCATAGTGAATTATATAATATCTACCATATTTAATATATAGTAGGCATACTATATACTAGATATAGTGTATAGTATTTATAGTGTGTATATATATAGTAAATATATATGTTAATAGATAAACATATATGAGTTCTGAGCAAGGGCTTTGTACTTAGGACTTTTTAAAATGTTTATTTATTTTGAAAGCGAGAGAGAGAGTAAAAATGCAAACGGGTGGGGCAGAGAGAGAAGGAGAGAGAAAATCTCATTGACAGTGCAGAGCCCAACATGGGGCTTAATTCCATGAACCATGAGATCATGACTTGAGCCGAAATCAGGAGACAGATCCTTAACTTACTGAGCCATCCAGGCACCCCTGTATTTAGGACTTCTAAGAATATATAATTATTTTGATACTAACAAGTATCTGTGGAACACTAAATAACTCATAGATAGTTCTCGTATGTTATCTTACTTGAGTTGTAAGAGAACCCTGTGGTGTTTATTCATATATTTCTTGCAGCATGGGTGACTGGACAGATGGGTAAAGAGAACTGGCTCACCATTTATGATAACAGCTAAAACATGTGTATCAGATAGTTGAGTGCTTCAAATATCAAAGTCTTTTGAGAAATGGGGGACACAGCCCACAGTATGAGGTGCCTAAAGTCAGAGGCTTAAGACACCACTTACTTGGTGAAAGCCACCCTTCTTGATGGATAGGCTTTTGTCTTTGTGGTTTTTCTTAACAGGAAGAATATAATACATATGGAACACAAGAATAGTATGAGACAAGTGGAGATGCTATTACTAAAAGGAACAGCATGTGTAAATAAAATCATAAGATTTTAGTGGAGAATTAATATTTTCACAAGGGAGAGAATGAATATTTTACAAATGTGTATAATAGGCTCACAAAATACTGTGTACATAATGCTAGAGTATTTATCATTTTCAGATGGAAATTAAAACTTTATTCTACCTTTTCTACCTCCCACCTCCTGAGCAACTGGTGTATTCATGACAAAAATGACAAAAGTCTCAATACTCAACAAAGCAATTTCTTGGGATTTTTCTTGCTAAAAAAACTTGGAGGTTATTGTTTTGTTACAATGTTTGAGTAGAATTTGAATTTTCAAAATGTTTATTTTTGAGAGCGAGAGCGAGCCAGTGAGTGGGGGAGGGGCAGAGAAAGAGAGGGAGACACAGAATCTGAAACAGGCTCCAGGCTCTGAGCTGTCAGCACAGAGCCCGATGCAGGGCTTGAACTCGGGAAGGGCAAGGTTATGACTTAGGCCAAAGTTGGACATTCAACCAACTGAGCCACCCAGGTGCCCTGAATTTGTTTTTTTAAGTTATACCTGCTTTGCATCTGAATTTTTTTTGTCAGAGCGTAGTTCTCTTACTGTATGTTCTAAATGCTCTAGCAGCAGTTCATGGTATTTATTAGCCTAATATATAGTTATTGGTTGATAATTTTACTGTCTTTACCTTAGGAACAGAGCTTCTGGTAGAAATTCATTAGGCTCTCCTAATAGCAAACCTGTTTTACAAAACAGGAATAATATTAAGCCATAAATCTTCAAACGGATTAATCTTGCTTTGTTGTATAGAAAAAAAATATCTGGAATAGCTGAATGATGGCATGCAGAGAGGTCTTATTTGTGGAAAATAATTAAAAATATGAAGATAGCTTAGCATTTTTTGTTTCTCCTCTTTCAGTAGCTTTTACCCAGCCAAGGGTCTATAAAATCTTAATCTGAAAAAGTTCGTCTCCATCTTCATTTTCTATATCTAATGGTAACTTAATGCCTTTGATATTCTAGTATACATGAACATATCTTGTGCTATTAAAAAAAAAAGTGGCAGTGTGCCAGTTATAGTCTTTGTTTTTTATTAAAATGCAGCAGCATAATTTCTTTGGGTCGCCGGATGTGTGCTTGGCTTCTTTTAGCCCAAGAAACCCAAACATGTTCCTCCACTTATCAAGACTTAGTGGAAGAAAAGATGGTTAGAGCTACCAAAGTATCTCTAAGCTCTTTGATTCATTGCTGAACTACTGCTCAGCCAATCCTAAACTTTAACTCTGAGCATACAGCTCTATGTTGTCAAACAGGGAATGAATGTTCAAACTGGCAAGCCTTGTAAAGTGACTGTCTCTTAATGTAGTGTCTAATTTCATTTGACAGCTCCCTGGTTTATAGTTCAAGTCAAGGCACACATTTAAAGACAATTAATTATTTCATTTTCTGGCCTATATTAAATTTCAGAGTCTCTATTACAGTAGCATATTCATGCCTCTGCAGTTTAGATGATGTCACCAATTTATCGTAAGCCTTATCTTCATAATTTTATAAAAGTAATACAGATCTGCTTTGGGTTGACAACAGCCATTATTTTTTCCTGGCAAGTCTTTCCCACTCGGAAAATGAGTTAACTTTTGAAGGGTGGTCAAGTT